GAAATCTTAGGACCGATCAAAAATTTACAAATTTCATAGATAATTAAATAAATTATTCAAATAGAAAAATTGAAAAGCTAAGTATTCTTAATCCTTTTCTTATGTTCACGTTTCTTCCTTTTTATTCTCGATCTTTTCATTGTCTTTTTTTTCTTTTTTTTTAGAAAAATTAATTTATCGACAATAGAATTACCAAATTTGTCTACTATTTGTTACTGAGATACTTTTGTCCAAGTGTACGCTGATTTTCGTTCATATAAAGAAATAATTACATACGCTAATTTATTTTTCATCGATCATTTTGTAAACGTACCTGTAACAAAATAAATACAGCGCGTTTTTAATCAATTGCGAGGCAATTACACTAATTCCGAGTGAAACTGCACGCGAACACACCTCTGCAAATTTCTGCGTGAAAAGTTAACGACTAAATTTGTTACCGTAACATGTTCGTTCAAACATTCAGGAAATAGTTAAACAATACGACATTCATTTGACTAGTTAAGAGTATCCACGAACTACTATATATAAATAATAAAAATACATTACAACGTTTAAAAGGGTATGAAATTTACGATAAAATGTACGAGTAATGACTTTGCAAATAACGCAAGTTGAATATCACATCTCTCGTTCGAAATTGAGCAACTTTCGTGTCAACAATTTCCATACATTGGCAATAATTTCAAAAAATAATTACGTGCACACACTTAAGCGCAGAGAGTGCAATAAAAGCTGCACGAAATAAAAGGGTTTATAAAAAAAAGCGAAGGATGGTTATTGCGGTTCTAGAGTATTTAAAAGCCGTGGAAATTTCTTTCAATAAAAATTCAATAAACACTCCACTTATTTTATTAATTTACTTACGTACCGATAAAATTCCATGTTGCTCGAAAGCACCTCTTAAGGTCTCGAATCTTCTTTCTATTCTTACCTGGTTCTTTCTTCTTTCCGCATCGAGCTATACTTTTTTAGGCAAATCCTCTTAGATGTAAACTGTCCTTTTATTAAGGACCACAATCCCGCAAAAACTCTGCAGAATTTTAAGAACAATTAACCAACAACTTCCTCCCCGCTTCCTATACAATTTTTCCACGAGAAAATTTTAATTTAGTACACTAGAGCGGCGGCTTTTTGCAGTTGTCCGTGCTTTTCACGGGGGTTTTGGAAACTTTTTAATAAAAATATCATTCTGAACGAATAATTGCGAATCTAAGACTCGTCTGTATTTTATCGTCAATTGTTAAAAGACATAAAAATGTAGCATCGCTGTTGCTAAAATCCACTTTCGTCGTCCTGTTTTTATTGTTCAAATTGTTTAAATGTACAGGTAACTTTCTTCTCCAAAAAATTACCACTGCGTTTTTAATAAACAAATTATTCCAAGCGGATTCCTGTATTGCACTATTCCAATATTTTCGCTTTTCTTTTTTTTTTTTTTTTTTGAAAATTGTGCAATATTACAAACTGTGACAAAACGGAACATCCGATATGAAACGGAATTTCATATCTGACAGTTCTCTGGATAAATATTTTAAACCAGTAAACAAAAAAGTTTACCGCCTGTTTTTGAAGCCTTTCAATTGAACACGCTGGATAAACGTTGATTGTTCATTATCTTTCGGTCAAATATTTTGAAGCTTTTTTTTCTCTGTTTCGAAGTTTTGAAACGGAAAATAGGAGATATTTTCATGGAAATCGGTTTAATGAGTACTGTTACTGAACCAAAAATTGAATTACAGATGTATTGATTAATTAAATTAAGTGTGATCGAAGTATCGGCCATTGAATTACGATAATTATTGCAAATTAAATAATCGAACGACGGAACATTTGTTGTACAAATGTAAATAATTTAAACGTGATTTAATCAGGCAATATTTCTTCACCAATTTTCGTAAAATACTTAAATCGGTATTCAAGTCGGTATTAAAAATGATATATTTTGTTAACTAAAGTATCTTTTCGAAAGAGAATTAAAAGCGATTATAAAAACTGTAAAACGAAGGTTTTAAAATAAATCTTTTGTTAGGAAAATAAGTAAAAAGGAATTTAGCATTTGTTAAAAAATATATTCATATGCTAATGCAATTTTGGAGAACAATGATATGAAGTGATGAGTGCAAATTTGAATTGTAAAATGTGAAAAGGAAGTGGCAGGTGTGAAGGAAGGCAATGAAGCAACGAAGAAAAAATTTATCCTGCCAACTGTGAAATTTTGTGAAACACGGTTTAAAATAATTCTTCTTCGTGGACAAAGGTTTGCTACTTTAATACTTATTCGGGAAATAATGAACGGAAAAGCGTGTCTATATTGGTGTGGTAAGTAAAAATTAATATGCAAAGAATTCGATTCAAAATACACAACCATGGAAACTGCGGAAATTATGAGGGATTCCAATACAACAATGCTTGAATGACCATCGCAGAGCGCGGATTTGAATCCAATAGAGAATTTATAGAATGTAGTTAATGTTGGAATTCTATCGAATAAGTGACGCGATACAATAGAATTTTTTAACAGTTCATCGTCAGCATTCGATAATATTGATGGAGATTATAACGAGAATCTGATAAATAATGTGCAATTATTTGATAAGATAATATTTTGGTAAAACGGTAACGTACATCACCATTTATTGTTTGAAAGCAACAATTTTATCAAGAGTTGACAATACTAATACGTACAATATTGTTTGCAAAATGTTTCCTTAATTTTGCAAAAATTCTTTATGTTTGCTTCACATTCATTAAGTGTCTTAATATTTATGAATGAAAATGTGTATCTCATTACTTTACACAATGAATTAACTCCACAGTTATGACACAAACATATATTCAAAAGCACCAACCCGACTTCTTCTCCAAGTGCCATAATCATTTCACGAACATCCTCAGCAATCCACTATTTCTCCAACTTTCATCGAAACACTTCCCTAACACTGTAATCCGCCTATTTGAAAGACCTGAGAACTACAGTGCCACAATTTACTTGCACGTCCTCCAGTTCCCATCGTCGCGATATCAATCACGCGACGCGGAAACGATAAGACACTCAATAAAGGAATCAGTCTGAGGGAGGAAGTACGGCCTAACTACCATCCTATCGGTTCACCCAGACCACGTTCTCCAACAACAATTGCCAGGAAGATCCCATTCGGCCTCTCAATAGGCAACGGAACAGGACCATCTTCTCACAATTGATCACGGTTCTTCCGTGGACTTGTCAATCGGCAGGCAGGCACGTGGCTGATCGCCCGTGTGACACGCGATCACTCGTTTAACATCCCTCTCCGTTCAACAGTCAATTATCGTCCCGGAGGGTGATTCTTTCACAATCTCTTTTCATCGTCGCACGACCAAGCTCTTTTTTTAGGGACCTAGACAACGCAGGAGGCCCAGCTGTTTTTAGGGGGAGAAACCGAAAAATGGCGTGCGTTTTTGGTGGGAGAAAGAGTGGAACGAAGAATTTTCTTAGAGGATAGAGGTGTGATGTATACAGAGAAAGCAGAGTGTATCATAGGGGTTGTTGTCGCTGTCGTATGGAGATCAAGTTATGACGGTTGGTTATTGAAGGGAGGAAGGAGAGACACAATAAACGGAGAAGGAAATGTTCTGGAATGATAGCTTCTGCAACTTGTAGTATATAATAGGGTGCAAGAATCATTCCTAACTATTCTGTTTTGGGGTTCTTTAGACACTGTTATTAACTAGGTTTTTATTACTGAGCTCCATGCAGGAACATTAGACTTAACTTGGAAGTTGTATATATACAAACGGCACCTTTCACCGAGCACTAGCGAGAACGGTCAAGTGTCCGGCCCTCTGGTGGTACAACCTAGAACGTACCACCACAGATTATTAAAAATAGAGTGCACAAGCGCTGTCTCACCTTCCTATCACATTCCCCTCTCAAACTCTCCAAGAACCCACTTAAACGGCAAAGATGCCACATCTTCCATCGCTTCGAATCGCGACAAAACCCCTCGCGGTGGGAAGTTCGAGCGGGGGAGACGCGTCGGGAAGAATCGCGGCTCGCTTGATTTCTGGTTAATAAAACGTTACGCGAGACATAAAGCGATACGATGATGTATCGCGGGGTGTACGCGGAGGCAGGCCGAGTAGCTGGCTCGGCTACGTGTTGCGGCCGAGGGGGACGCGACGCGGCACGGCACGAGGCCACGGGGATGAAACAGTGGACGGGATGTA